AAGCCAACTGAGGATGATTTTACAGAGATAATTTGACTCTGTATTAAGGGAAAGGCATTCTTTTCCATCATTTTATGCTTTCATTCCTTGGTAACGAGCGCCCACCTGTTTTCATTTTCTCAGGATTAAAAATTGCTCTCAGGGAAATATTTGATACCTTCATTAGAAAATGTAAATCATATACTTTCATGTGTTATGTATCCTAGAGTTATTTGCATTTTACTCATACTTAATACATAAAAATTTTATTTAAAATGGAACTATTTTGTTATTACTTAAACTTTAAGTAAAATTTAACACCTCCGTTAGGGGTTGTGATACATTTAATTCTCATGTCAACTCTATTAAGTGAACATTGTCCTTACTCCTATTTTGTAGATGATAAAGCCAGGGATGCTAAGTAACTTCCTTAAAGACAGAGAGTATTAAGTAGAGAATCCAGACTTTGAACAACCTACTCTTTCTGCATCCAGCGTCCATGCTCTAACCATGGTAATTATGAAAAAGATTGGTTCATGTTAACCAAAGAAAGTTATAAATTATGTTTTTAGGAGGTATTAGTAAGCATGATACCCATTGTAAAAGTATACCTCTCAGACAGCTCCTGCCCTGATATTCATGAGGCCAAAGATGCTACTTTGCTTGGCAATAACCCAATCCAAATAAGGACAATTGAACAGATTTTTTAGGCCACGTGTTTCTGGATTGAAATTGTGTAAGTTTGAAAAACAATAGCCTCTAGAGACACATCTCGACACCACACTCTTAAAGTACTGGCATTTGCATTTGAAAATGTCTTAGAAAATCCAACAGTCATATTCATTAAGGTATTGTGCTATCATCTCCACTAAGAGTCAGAATTCAGAAATTGTTTTTGTTTTTCTCAGCAAAACCATCTTTAAAGGGACATTTTTTATTTGATTGCTTTCTTAACTGAAATTTTGCAGTCAAATAGGACCTGTGTGTGTGTGTGTGTGTGTGTGTGTGTGTGTGTGTGTGTGTTTTAAACCAGTTAATAATTTGTGTTTTATCCTGCTTTATTTTGTGTTGACTTGTTTTGTTTCAGTCCAGCCCAACTTTAAAACGATACTTCTCTGGAATACTCACTGAATCATTTTTTTCTAGAAAGAGAATTATCTATCAAAAAACACTTCAGAAGTCAAAAGGTTTTTAAAGTTTAAAAGCAACTAAACGTTTCTTGGACCTGACTCCTTTTACATAAACTCTGTGTTACTGATAGTTTTAAGGGAAATGATACTTTAATAATTGTATAGACATCGCAACAGAAACATCCTCAGTTTACTGCTGTGTGTCTCAATAAGTATGTAGAAAATCAAACCACAGGAATTATTATTGCTCCAAAAATTCATAAGCTGATATTTTGATCATAAAATCACAGCTCTTAGAAGATATATAAGAGGTAATCTTAGGTCTGACCTGTGGTATGATGGTAAATGTTTAACAACAGACTCTCCAGAAAAAATAAAGTCTGATTTATAGCATATTATTTTTCATGGGTGCGAATACTCCCACTGTAGCTGATTTCAAGCTAGCCATGAAATTACTGAAGGTAGAATTGAAAAGAGATGCAACACAATGAGTACACCACTGAGGCTGACGATCCTGACAACCTGTGCACTTTCATCAAACTTCCAGTGTCTCTGAAATCACCTTTTTATCAAATGTTAGAAAAGGGATGATGATGGGAACTGCGCTTCATAGCCCAGGCCCTAGAGTCAAACTGCCAAGGCCTTAATCCAACTCTTCAACTCCTGTCTTCCCTTTGGTAAGCTATGTAGCTTTTCTGTGATTTAAGTTTTCTCATATACAAAATGGTAATAATAGAGTTTCTGTCTCATAGGACTTTTATGATGTTTAAATAAAATGGTACATATAAAATGCGTAGAAGATTTTTTGGCACATAGTAGACCTTTAATTCGTGTTAGCTACAGGATTTACAAGTCCAGCTATCAGAATGTTTTATATGTTGTCAGCTAAATCTTTCAAAGGTCATTAAAAACCATTCTGTTTTATAGGAATACTCTGAGAAGAGCCAGGTATAGAGGAAGGAGTACTAAGTAAGAAGTCACGGGTTAGGTTTGAGTCCCAGTTTTGCCAACGCTTCCATCCATGACCTCTGTCAAACCATTTTCCTTCTAAGAGCTTTAATTCTCTCATTAGTAAGATGTAGAAAGTAATAATCATCCTGCCAATCACATAGGATTGTGGTGAGACTAATGTGAGATAATGAAACTAAGAGCCCTTTGAAGATGATACAAATGTGGGATATTATTATTAATCCAATTTAAAAATCATGATGCCATGGAAGCATTATAATAAAATAATAAAAGTTTGGTGTAAATATTAGGAATAATGTGGCATTAAGAATGGGATGTTTTGTTATAGGAAGGAAAAAAAGAAATTAATTCCTACCACAAAACAGGGCAGCATTGTGTTCAACCTCTTTTCCCCACAAAAGAGCAATTTTCAAATGAAAACGAGCTATACTTTAGATATAACATACATTTAAATGAGTTAGGGATCATAGGGAACTAAGTTAGCAAATATCAATGGAGTCAGACTTTTCAGAGAATGGAAATGTATCCAAAAATGAACAAATAAAGCATATAATAATCTATCAAATGAAAGACAGGACACTTAGGCAAACCAGGTAGTATTAAGCCATTCGAAGATAAATAATGTAAATCTTTAAATAGTTCTTTGGTTCTTAAGTTTTATAGATAAATAGAAAAGAAAATATCTGGTCAAGGACAGATTGAAGAAATCTTAAACCTGCTAAGTTCAGTCATCTTAAGAACAATAAGAGCACACATAAAAAGGAAGGAGCAAGGTAACAACATCAGGTATTTTTAACATTTATACTTTGGATTCTTTTTACTTAGAAGAATCATGTACATTCATATACATTCAGTGAACATTCACCGAGAAAACAATTCTGGATAGAATTTACAATCTAAAAATATACCCATGTTATTCTCTCTCTCTCTCTCTCTCTCTCTCTTTCTCTCTTTCTTTCTTTCCATGCAGACTGGAGTGCAGTGGTGCAATCTCAGCTCATTGCAACCTTGGCCTTCCAGGCTCAAGTGATCCAGCCACCTCAGCCTTGCAAGTAGCTGGGATTACAGACACATGCCACCATGCCTGTCTAATTTTTGTGTTTTCTTGTAGAGCTGAGGTTTTGCTATGTTGCACAGGCTAGTCTTGAACTCCTAGGCTCAAAAGTGATCTGCCCATTTCAGCCTCCCAAAGTGCTAGGATTATAGGTGTGAGTCACTGTGCTCAGCCTGTTTTCTTTTTCTTAAATAATGTCTCCAAGCTATGCTTTAGTAGAGGGGTTTCATTCTGAGGACAAAAAAAGAGTCACTTGTGCAACAAAGCTCTCACTATGGCCTCTTCTGCCAGCTATTAGTAAATATTCTCATTATTAAATATTTTTAAAATGAGAATACAATAAAGGGATACTTTTAAGTTTCCTTGTTCAATGAAAAAAAGCAGAATGAAAAACCATTTATGTAGTATACTCCCTTCCATGAAAGGAGGAGAGAAAAATACAAAATAAAACTAGGTAATAAACCACAGGAAAGACATATAAGAAATTTATGAGAAACAGAGTAGACTGACCAGGCAAGAATTTCATCATGTGAATTTTTAACTTATTAAACAATGTGTGTGTGTGTGTGTGTGTGTGTGTCTGCATGCCTGTGAAGATACACATATAGGTAAATTAAAACTAGTGTTATGTAGTTGTCCATCTTGTTTTACATCGCTCATGTTCCCCAAGCTTAGGCCTGGCACAGGCATGGATACCTGCAGAGTGAAAAGGGCCTAGTGGGTGTCCTCACCTCCATGTTCCCAATCACTTTGGTGCTTCTGGTTGTTCAGCAATGTGATGGGAGAGGGAGGAAATGGCTGGCTAGACTGGTGATTTTGCTGTCACCTATGTGACAAATGCCCAAATGCTGCCTATTTTTTTCTCCTGGGAACCATTTGTGTGTCCTTCAGAGACAACTTGTTAACACCAAGAGAATACTTTGAACATATATTTTCTGATATTTTAGGTTAATTTTTATAATTCCTACCCTAGCTTTTATGCCATCATTCACTCTATGTAACCTCTTTTTCACTGACTTAAGTACTTTCAGTACTTTAAGAGACCTCTATTCTACCTGCTTTGTAGCTTTGAAAAAAATTAGCACCTTTTCCGTATCGAACTCTGGAAATGTATGCCTCTCTTCCCACAGGTTCCCTCTTACCTCTGAATTCACAGGTAGCCCTGATTAGCCTGTCATTTTTTTTCCTTTTTGAGAAAAGAAATAGGAACCAGATATCTTTGAATACCAAGAGACATTGGTAACATCTGGATTTGGCAAATATCCTCCAGGGGTGAAAGGCCTCTTTGAGGGTCACAGCACTAAGCTGGTAGCCCTCTTCAAATAAGTCCCCTTTCCTAATTTACTTACTAATGAGAATTATGAGGCTAGGTTTGGATAATCAAAAACACACATTTGGGACTGCCCCTTAGCAATCCCTGTATAGAGGGCCTGATAGACACATCTCATGAGAATGTTGGGCATGTAACAGCCATTTTCCTAAAGGGACTCTGAAATCTGAGATAATAGGGAAAATCCTTACATCAGTGAATATCAGTATAAGCCTACATATATCTCTGACATTTAAAAATCTGATCCCAAGGGGAGTGAGGGTAAGGGAAGAGGAGATTTTTTTTTCACTTTATAACTTTAGTGTTTGACTATTTTATGACATTCAAGCATTTGCATTAAAATGTGTATTAATTTTAGAGAATCACAGTCCAGTCAATTAGCTACATGAAGAAGAACCTTTCATATTTTAATGAGATTTGATTTCGGTTTCTTATGAAGATATGCTAAATTCTGGTTTGAGATAAAGGAATTTCAAGAAAGAGGAACAAAGAGGGGAGTGAGGCAAAGAAGATAAAAGAGAGGAAGGTTAAAACTTACCTTGTTTCATCAATATAAACTGCTTCCAGCACAGATGCTGCATATTCAATATTCTTCTTCAAGTCAATGACGTTAACGTCACCTCTTTCCAGCTGCTTCACTAAGCATCGTAGTCTATTTCAAAAAATAGCCAAAGAGAGAGAAACAGAAAGGAATTTATTGTAACTATATGGAAAATAATACAGTATTAAATATACTAAGTTAAGACTTTTAACATAGCTATTTCCAAGTCAACAAAGAGCAATATTTTCAGATTCTTTGACATAATTAAGACCAATCTTTATTATGTAAGAAATTATTAGAAATTATATTCAGCTCTCAATAATATTAAGAGGATAGGTAGCTAGTTTAAGTGCAATATTTCAGAGATAGTCTTCCTGAAAATTCAAGACAATATAGACATTTTCAGAAAAGTATATTCCTATAATTTATTCCATGGCTTTTCTGCTTTTTCAGTGTTGACACTAGGAGAATATTCAAACGATGCTCCTCTTAATTCACAATTGCAAAAATATGTAAGCAACCTAAGTGCTCATTGACAAATGCATGGGTAAAGAAAATGTGAGATACACACACATAAACACACACACACAAAAAGGAATACTACTCAGCCATAAAAAGGAATAAAATAGTTTTATTTTTTAGCAACTTAGATGGAGCTGGAGGCCATTATTCTAAGTGAAGTAAATCAGGAATGGAAAGTCAAGTATTGTATGTTCTCCCTTTTAAGTGTGAGCTAAACTGTGAGAATGCAAAGGCATCAGAATAATATAATGGTCTTTGCGGACTCACAGAGGAAGGGTGGGAGGGTGCATGGGATGAAATATTACATATTGGGTACAGTGTACACTGCTCGGGTGATGGGTGCACAAAAATCCCAGAAATCATCACAAAACAACCGATTCATGTAACCAGAAACCACCTGTACCCCCCCAAAAAACTATTGAAATAAATGAAAAACTGAAAAATAAAATAAAAAGATTTCATAAAATAAACAAAAAAGAGTGATCTTCTGACTCCTAGATTAGCTATTATTTACTGTATAAAGCAATAAAGACAAAGAGAAAAGGCAAAACTTCCTTAGAAGTTTAATTGAGACAAGAAAAAATACACGTGTGTGCCCTTAGCATACTTCCTGCACTCGTTTTTCACTTCAGGCAAATGTGAAAATATTTTCTCATATTTGAGTCTTTAGGATGATGTGTCCCAATGCTGTCAGGAATTTTAAAGCATAGGACTCAGCTAGATTCCTGAATTACAGAAACCATAGGATAATTTATGTTATTATGTTAAGCCCCAAGCCTTGTGATACTGTTATACAGCAATAGATAGCTAATAAAGTAAGGTGATACAAATTACCTTAAGTTTGTAATAGCTTTGGCAACTTTGATGCATTAAAGCCACGTATTCCTGAAGATACTGCCCTTCACCAAGTACAAGAAGAACATACTTACTCTCTCCATACTATAGATAAGCAACATGAAGACTACTTGTCTGTTTTCCTAAGTCATCAGACAGAATTTAGTTCCATTCTATTCAAACGTATTGCAAAAGAGAGAGTAGAGTGCAGCTACTTTTAGGCACTCCCATAGAGATAACTTAGCAGATTTTTAGCAATTTTTTTTGGATAATTTCCAATGCCAAGGGTGAAGATACAAAGGCAAGTTAAGAATTTCACCAAAGCTATTTGACATTTCTCCACCCATAAGAAACAGTTCATTTCTCTATGGGAAAAAAGACACACCTACATGATAACTTCTTATTCAGGAAGCTGTAAACAATTACTTTTTTGTGCCATTTAATTTGTATGGTAAAATATCAGCAGGAAACAACATTGAAAAATAAATTGTATACACCAATAAATACATCTTATTAATACAGAATAAGCAAAACAAAGCACAACAAAAATACAACTGAAACAGGTTACTTAGAAAGGAGAATTAAGCCTGGCTATAAGGCTTGTCTGAAACACTGAATGTGATAATAACAGATCAAGATATAGAGGATTTTGAGATTTTTGTCATGCTTATGACCCAAGAACATTATTCTTCATCAAATTATCCTTTATTTATTAAAATAAAAGAAAAAAATTTTGGTTTTTTTTTCCCATAGTTCTGCAATGGCTTACAAATATACTATCATATGTCTTTCTTGTGAAAATTACTTGAATACAGCTTGGTTCTACTTGGTTGTGTAATATTGTTTAAAACAATAAATACTTAAAATGGTTGCCTTTCCTTTTTCCTGAAAAACTGCATTCTATTTTTCTTTGTTAGCGATTTTCCCACTAAAAATACTACATTGTCTAAGCTCTCTTGAAGCTAGGTATGGTCACATAACTAAATTCTTGCCAGAGCTGTGCATGGAGGTTGCTGGGTGACACTTTCACAACAGGAGAGAGCTAGCTGCACTGGAAGGAGTTCTCTTGCATCCTTGCCTGTTCCTTACTGCCTGAAATGCAGCGGAACTGTCTAAAGGCCCAGTAGCCATCTGGGAACATGAAATGACCTGGCAAAAGAAAGTGTGTACCACACACTAAGAATGGTAGAAAAGAAAAATGGAAGTGGTCTGGATATCATGCTGTGGGTCCACCTGAATGAAATCACCCATCTCTGGACATGTTTCTGATGCAAGAACAACAAAAATTGCATTTAAGCCACGATTATTTTGTGGTTTCTTTTATATGCCGATGAAGCAAAAACGCACTGGTAAATGAATAGAGAATGAATCAAAATAAGGTACTAAAGAATGGAGAAATCATTATTATCAAATGGGATGATGACTCCCTGGGAGACCACTGACAAGTGCATTTCCTAACTCACAACAGCCTGTGGTTGTTCTTAGGAGAATCATCCCATCTGCAACTATGACTGATAAGACTTGTGATAATCAAGAGGCTGTAATGCTCACACGATGAACATGCCCTTTCACATAGAGATCTCAATGTGGTTTAAAAACAAAATATTATGAATTATCTCTTGATATTCATAATTAGGTATATAAACCTATAATTCGACATAAAACTTCCACTTGGGAAAAACACTTCAGTAAGGCTTACCACCCAACTAGAAAATGTAATTACACATAGTTATAACTCAGTAAAACCATATCCCCTCATACACACGCACACACACACACACACACACACACACTCCTAAATTCACAATGCCAACCCAAAAAGACTGGATAGGAACGTATATTGGGGGGTTACCAGGACTCGTTTTTTGTCCTTTGTTTGTTGCACTACATTTTCAATAGTGAGTGCACATTTCTATTTACATAAAAAGGAAAACCTTTATATTGTAAAAATATTATTTATAACTAGAACATCAACTTAATGGAATAATTTATATCATTACTGTCCTAACTGTAATCATTTATATCATTACTATCCTATTTGTGAATATGCTTTTATAATCAAATTACATGTAGAATAATCCTCAACAATCTTATTTCAGCTATTATTTTACTTTCTTCCTAGATAATACAAGGTCAAACATCTTCATAATTTTCAAATAGTCATATGTTCTATACTGGTAGGTTCCAAAATGTTAAGGCTTTTTGTATATATCTGTAGAAACTTATCTCTATTTTTAAGAGGATAATCACATCCTATTTACCTGATTCTTAAGCCATCCAATAGGCAAATTCTCAGAGCTGAAAATAAAGTATTTTATGCACAAATTCATGTGCATAAAATAAACAAGTTCCCTTAATTTAGTGAAAACCCTTTAATAATGATTTTGCTTCTTTCATCAATCAGTGTGGGCAAGCTGAGTAGAAAACAATGTTCTTAATTTCTGGAATAGATAAGTTGTTCTGGTGCCCAAAGCTTAGGGTAAGGGCCTGTTCTTGATGTTCAATTTTTCTGACCCAGAAAATCGTGGATTAGGACCCTACCAGCTACTGTGTTTGGTAGAAAAACAAGTAAACAGCTGTTGTATCAAACAGTATAGACAACATTGCTAAAAAGGTGCTAAAATCCCAGTTCAGTTAAATAAATAATTATTGGGTGTCTATCACTGCACCTGGGGCTGTGTAAAAGAATATATATCTAGATATAGTTATTAGTACATATATAAGAATATATATGTATATATAAGTACATAAATAAGGATATACATAAAACACACTGATATATACATATATAGTATATAATGCATGGGTACCTGTGTGTGTACCACAATACCTTCTTCAAGGTAGCTGCAATCTCTGAGGGGTGTATGACATGCAAACAATGTGGTCAAATGTTAAACTGTAGTTATTTCCCATTGCTTCTTTTATGCACATCCTAATTTCTAAGCAAACTGGTTTAGTCACTGTTCCTCAAAAACTCTCACATCATCTTACATTCAAGTCCTTCTCTTTTAGTGAAATCTCTTTCTCCCACATTCCTACCATCTGTACCTGCCTAATTATATTTGGTTACCAGGCATATCTGGGATGCCACTAGTCTCGTAAGACCTTTGAAGATGCCTGTCCATTGTGATTGCTGCCTACATAGAAACTAAACCAAATTTTATTAATTTCCCATTGACAGCATTTGCATTTCTCTGACTTTCCTTATAATTTCAATTTCTTGTATATGATGTTTTCCCAATTGGCCTCTCATCAAATAAAAAATTTTCAGGTATGCAAATAAACAGGAAAATTCACCCATGATGAGGATAAAAATAAATGATTTTAAATTGACCCAAACATGACAAAGATGATAGAATTTGCAGACAAAAATGTTGACTGTTATTATAAAATCAAAATAATATAAACAACATTAGACCAATAAATTCAATAACTTGAATGAAATAATTTTCTTTAAAAACACAAGCTACCAAATATCAAAAAGAAACAAATAAATGAAATTTGTAGCTAAAACTCCTTCATCTAAGAAAACTTCTGGCCCAAAAGACTTTACTAAAAACATTTAAGGATGTAATAATATCTATACATACAATCATAAATAATTCCCAACTCATTCTAGATGACCAAATTACTTTTATAACAAAACTAGATGCAATCATTGAGGAGGAGGAGAATTATATTAATATAACATTTAAGAAAAGACAAACAATCCTAATAGTGACAGAAAGCAGATAGTAGTTGTTTGGGAATGGAGA